AATAATTCAATAATGTTTTATATTCTTACTCGCGTAATATTTCAAACTGTTTCAAGTCTTGAAATTAATTTTAGACTGAACAAATTCTAAATTTTAATTTTCTGTATTCTATCCCAAGAATGACGTTTCTGACAGTGTCAACTCCCGAGCTCATATTGTATCCATCTACTATAGGTATTTATCTTGTGACTTTAACCTAACTGTCTGGCAATTAAGGATTTTTTTTTTCTTCTTTTAAAATGTTAGTGCGTTTTTTTTTATACGCCGCTAACATCGTGCTGTGCTTAGAGATTCTTGAAATTAAGATTCTCAAACTATACTTGTACTGAAAATTATTCCGCCTTAAAATACGGCGAGAATTTATCGATCGAATTTACTTGATCGAAACATGAACTTAACATGAAATTTGCTATAGAATTTAGGAATACATATATTAATTCCATAAATCCTCCATTCACAATATAACATAATATTTTCTAAGAAAATCCTTGGCTTAAAAATACATGAATTGTATTATTTAAGGTCTGGAATTTTCTCAGTCATTACACGGTCAACCGAATCGGTCGACCTATGGAAGGGTGACTGGTCAACCGGTGGGGAAGAATTTCCAGTGCCAACAATGGCCGATTCGCGAAGAACAAAGCCAAAACCTGCAATTTTGGGTCTGATTTCGACATATTCTCAAGGAAAATGTATAGATCCAGTTTCAAATCAACAAATGGGATCCAAAGAATAAAAAACCCCCAACTTTCATCAAGGTTTCACCAAATCCCATTCGGATTCCATTTAAAAGCAAAATTTAAACCAAAAATCACCAAACTCGACTAAAACGAGTTCCACAAAGCTAAATCCGAAAATCTAAAGTAAGTTTCAAAGAGTTTTACCTTGATCCAAACTTTGATGTTGAAAACCTCTTAGAAACCTCCGTTTTTGGTTTAAATCCGGCCCTTGAGAAAGAAAACTTTGAGAGAGAGAGGGAGAGATGAACGGGAGAGAGGGAGAGAGAGAGAGAGAGAGAGAGAGCTCGAGATAGAGAGAGAGTGTGAGGGAGAGAGAGCTCGGGAGATCAAGAGAGGGAGAGAGAGAGAGAGAGAGAGTAACGTGAGGAAGGGAAAGGAAAAATAAATAAGGAAAAAGGAAAATGAGAAATAGAAAGAAAAGAAAATTAGGAAAAATAAATAAAATAAATAGGGGTGAAATTGTAAATACTGAAATAAATTTAAAAGCTCATGATTAATTAAGAAATCAATTTAGGCACACTAATAAACCATAATTATCATAATTAAATAAGTTTAATTCCGGAGGGCGTTACACAAACAATTAACTTTCTGGTGGAATTCCTTCAAGCCTCTCTCAAGTGCCCCGCCTTAATACACTGGACTTGTCAAACAACAATTTATCAGGCAAGATTCCAATAAGTACTCAACTGCAAAGCTTTGAGGTGAGTTCGTATGCGGGGAATTCTGAACTCTGTGGAGTCCCACTTCCAAGAAGTTGTCCAGGAGATGAACCAACTGTTCCTACAGCTCCTAGTGCTCATGATGAAGGTGGTGAGGACACATTCATAACACAAGGATTTTATCTCACCTTAGGCCTTGGATTTGTGGTTGGATTTTGGGGAGTTTGCGGCCTCTTAATCTTCAGCAAGACTTGGAGACATTCATACTTCAATTTCATCGATGATGTCAAACATTGGATTTACGTAAGGCTCGCGTTGCACAAGGCAAAACTACTAGGATGATCGAAAGCTAAAGGTTAGTAATCTATTTCATAAGCTACGAGATATTTATATCACTCTGAAAATTGTACTCCAGGTATAGGTCAATTGGTCTGTTGAAAAAAATAAAATAAAATTGAAGGCCCCAATGTTAAACCTTTATTATTATTATTATTATTATTATTATTATTATTATTATTATTATTATTATTATTATTTGCCCCTCCTCTGAATGTAATGGTCGTTGATCTCTTTTCCATTTTCTTCTTCTTAAATCGTATGGTGGAAAAGTGAATGCTATTTTCTTCCAATACTTGTTATAGATGTTCTATTTTCCAAATTAACAGGTTTTAATTTCTTGTGTTTGTTGAAGGAGCGCTTTTGCACAACTTATGAAGAATAAAGAGAGTGCTTTTATGCATTGCACGGTTGTCTGGAGCTTGGTGTTGAAGTCATCGTTGAGTACTTTGAGAACAAAAAAATAAAATAAAATAAAATTAGAGAGCTGTTTTCTCTAATAAATGGTTTCTTTCTCTTTTCTTTTTTTTTTTTTTTTTTTGGTGTGTTTTTGGTAAGTTGTAAAGTTTATTTGTAAATGTGCTACTAGGTATTTGTAATTTACAGGACTCTTGATGTAAAATAGTCTACCATTTGAACTGTAATAAGTTGGATGATCTATTTGTGTTTATTTCAATTGGAAATATCGTTTGAAGTAATAACTACCAATGTGGATTCTTTTTTTTTTTTTTGTCCTTTTATTTGGCGGTTATGCATTTTCTTGGATTTTTTATTTGCCAGTCGTTTATTATTATTATTTTTTTACTTTTTCTTTTTTTTTTTAACTGAATTTTCCCGTCGTTTCTGAAGAGTAGAGATGCTGGAATTTTTCCCCCTGTAGTTCTCCCCCCATCCTCTTTCGTCTTTAATTACTTTTGTCGTTTTTAGTTTGTTGTTTAATAATTTTGATGTCGTTTCGCTACTTGTTCTTCACTTTGCAATCGCTTGCCTGTCGTTTTTTCAAGTGTCTACAAGTTTTCAACATTTTATGAATACACAACTTGTTGAAAGCTAGATATCATTTTTGGCAATACGCAAGTGACTGACAATTTCGAGGGAAAATAAAATTGACCTTTCGGGTGCGTTTGGAATTGTTTTCAAAATGATTTTGTTTTCTGTATGAAAATAAAAATGAAAACGTTTTCATTTTTATTTTGGAATTATTTCTGAAATGCGTTTAGTAGTTTTATTCAGAGATTGATTTCAGTTTTAACAGAAACTGAAACTGCGTTTGGTGGTTTAATTTTTAAAAACATGTAATAATATTTAAATTAATAATATATTGAATATATAATAATATTAAATATA